TACATATATATATATGTATGTCACATGATGTTTATTTTATGTATATATGTGAGATAGGGTTAATAATAAATATATTAGATACTATTAATCATATATATTACAGATAGTGTTTATTAGACATATGTCAGACAGTGTTTATCATATGCATGCCAGATATTGTTCATTACATATTTTTGAACTTAAGGAATATAGCTTATAGCCTTTTTTCATATATGTATACTATTTGGTATAGTATACATATATGAAAAACGATATAAGCTATATTCCTTAAGTTCAAGGTTGAACTTAAGGAATATAGCTTATATCGTTTTTCTTATACACATATATATTATGGTAAGCATAAGTTGCATTTTTTATTTTATGCAACTGATGGTAAACTTAAAACAACTTGAGCGAAATCGACAGTCGAATGGAATACAAGCAAATGATTTTTAACATAATTTACACTAAACTTGAAGCCTTAAGACACATCTTTTACTATGATTAAGAATTATGATTATAAAATGAATGTGATATTTCTTAAAATCACTAAATCTTGGCTGATGCCTTCTAATACTCGGAACAGTTTTTTTTAGATTGATACTTAACTGTGGAACAGCTTGGTAGGGTCTGGGTGTTAGGGCGCTCGACTCGCACCCTGCAGGTCGAGGATTCGAATCCTGTCACGGAACATGCCCCCTTCAGAAGTGGGGGCGTTATAATGTGACGATCAATCTCACTATTCGTTGGTAAAGAACTAGCCAAATGTTAACTATAAGTAGTATTCACTAGCTATTTCCCCCCTGTTCTATCACTTCAAACTAGGATCGGATAGCGCAGAAAGCCATCCAGTAGTTTGCGCGAAATTCAAGAAACATAAAGATGTGAAACTTCTAGAAATTGTGACAAGTAACTTTGTAAATCCTGTCATTATGTAGTGACGTGGCTAAGATAGTAAATAAAAATCACTATCTACAACTATATGAACTCGACATGGAGAGTCACTTGTAGAAAATGTACAGTGGACACTTATGACTTACTGTTAATTTGTAGAAAATGTACAGTGGACACATGACTTACTGTTAACTTGTAGAAAATGTACAGTGGATCCTTATCACTTACTGTTAACTTGTAGAAAATGTACAGTGGACCCTTATCACTTACTGTTAACTTGTAGAAAATGTACAGTGGACCCTTATCACTTACTGCTAACTTGTAGAAAATGTACAGTGGACACTTATCAATTACTGTTAACTTGTAGAAAATGTACAGTGGGCACTTATCACTTACTGTTAACTTCAAATTTAGAACTTGCTACATACCTGTGTACAACAACTTTCCAATATCCTTCTTAGGGTGTTTGAGATCCTGAGAGTTCATGATGGTGTCTGACTATAGTTTCTTGTCAGCAGTACGAGCAGAGCCTCAGTCAGTTCGTCCAGCCTTTACCGGAATGTTGGATGTGTATTTAAGAGTCACTGAGGATAAAATATGCCACGCCCTCCACTGCAGATACCACGATCTGTCAGACGTAGAAACTGTTCATTGATTGATTATATGTTCCGTATAATTCGCTGCCTACGCCTGACGTCACTAAAATTTAACCAATCCGTGTATGAGAAACTATGTTTTTCCATCCAACATCCACCCACATCTGGGCCATGTCGTTACAATGATCGACAAATAGGATGTATACCTAGCCTTTAAGCGTAGGCTGAAACTGACGTCAATCTGGAACCTGAAAGAAATGTTAAACAGAAGTATTTTCCAGAAGTGATTAAATCCACTGACATTAAACTAATGCTTTTTTTTTCTGATATCTAGCAATTTTAGAATACCATGACCTCTTGAAATATGTCACAAAAATGTAGCTAAATAATCGGTTCAGATTTCTGTGATATTGCAGTAGAAACTTTAAAAATAACTTTTTTGTTTCAAGAAAAAAAGCAGTTGGATACAAAAGCATAGAGTGAAGACGTCAAGCCAAAATGGCCAATTTGAAGTTCTATATGAACCTCGGAATAAATAGGATGAAATGGCGTTGACGTGTATAACTTACAAAAGGATTAAATTAGATAGAAAGTATTCGTATCTATCACCAACCAGTAAAAAACTTACAGTGAAATATTTTTCTTGTTCTTTGGTGTTATAATTGACTACTTCTTCCTCCAATACTTTATCCCAGATCAATAATATAGACAATGTTAGACAGATGAAATTTAGTTGAATGGACGGCAACTGCCTATTGTACAAGTGAAGAGGACGACGTTTCGTCTTCAGAAAGGCGGAGGACTTTCAAAAATGTCGTCCTCTACACTTGTGTTTCTATAACAGGCAGTTGCCGTCCATTTAACTAAATTTCATCATGAATATTCTGCCTAAACAGTCTACCAAAGAAGATTAGACAGTTTCATTTGCTTAAGAGAAACCGGTCGGTGTTTTGATAAGTATTAAGAGAAACCAGTTGATGTTTTGATAAGTATTAAGAGAAACCGGTCAGTGTTTTGATAAGTATTAAGAGAAACCGGTCGGTGTTTTGATAAGTATTAACAGAAACCGGTCGGTGTTTTGATAAGTATTAAGAGAAATCGGTCGATGTTTTGATAAGTATTAACAGAAACCGGTCGGTGTTTTTGTTTCCTTAGTTTCAGGATAAGGAAGTGAATTAAATGAATGTATTAGTATCTTCGCTATGTACGGGTCGTTGCGGTGATGTGCTCAGAGGAATGGTATTACACGTAACAACATGTTAAATTCAACCCTAGCTGAAGGAAGATTAGCACTGGCTATAGTCGAAATGATTTTTTATTTTCCAGTTATAACCTTTAACTTAAGATTGAAAGCGTTAATATATAAATAAAAGCGACAAATCAAAATGGCTCAAATAAACTTCAAGTCACCAAATATAATGAAACATATCAGTGAAAAACATAATGAAACATATCAGTGAAAAACATAATGAAACATATCAGTGAAAACATAATGAAACATATCAGTGAAAAACATAATTAAACATCAATGTAAAACATATCAGTGAAAAACATAATGTGTTAATTACAGCTTTATACGTCTCACTTAAGATTGACTAAAAAGTTATCCAGGAAACGTGAGGTAATAATCAAATATGCGCAACAAGGATGCGCAGTTTTAAGACTAATTTCACATTGTAGGAGTGACTGACATCTTATGAATCATAAGCTTCAGTAGCTTTTCTACACACTTTTATATCTTTAGTTTTGGCTACACACTTTTATATATTTAGTTTTGATACACACACTTTTATATCTTTAGTTTTGGCTACACACTTTTATATCTTTAGTTTTGATACACACGAGTAATGTTGGAAAATGAGAATACGATGGTGATCATAACAAGTCTTATTTTTTCTGTTAAAATATCACTAACTAAGTTAAATTCCGTGAAACCGTTAGATTATTCTAATTATCATAGAGCTAGTACGTTTATCACAGAGTTATATTTAGATTTATCGTATAGTTTCCATTAATTCTTCATCGTGATTAAAAATGATTATAAAAGTTTAATATCACATTATAGGAAAACACTTATACTTCAATCTACCTATTTTCACGCATCTCGCTATTTTTATTAATGATTTTATTAATAGATGAAACCATACATTGTAGATAAAAAAGAAGATATATCAATTAAAGTATATTACCAAGAAGATATTAAAGTTTCTGTATAGTTAAATCTTTCTCATATATACTATTTAGTGTTCCATAATGGAGTTTATAGTTTTGGAGTGAACCTAATATTTTCTAAAAAATTATTTCGAAAATATTTCGTACAAAACGACAATGAACTGTTTTCTAGAAATGTTCAGAAAACGTCCTAATAGTTTATCATCGCTGTCCCGAACGTGGCCTAGTGATTACCTTATCGGACTGGCGATTCGAAAATCTAGGGTTCGAGACGTGGTGATACCAAACATTTTCAATTGTGGATACGTTATAAGGACGACAGTTAATTCCATTATTTGGGTAAGAGCTTCTAATCAGGTGGCGAGTGCCGCCTACTGGATGCTTTCCCTCAAGTTTACAGTTAGGAAAAGCTGTGCCCGAACCCTAGTGGCCACTGGCCTGACCGTCTAGCCCATTGTGTGCATAAGGTGCAGCTCGGTGAACAAACAAACTTATCACCTTATATACTATTTTGTTATATTACTGAGAAAAAGTAGATAGTATTAGTTTACACTAAAAACAATGTATACAGCTCTGTGTCTTATCTTTCAGCATCATCATTGTACTCGGACGTTTAGTAAAGTCTTCAACTGAAACACTCCAAATCTGTAGTTCGTTAAATATAATTCTGGCAACTGTGATTGATAAATGATAAGCTAGTCAAGAAGGTTCATGTGCGTATTGGAATGTTCCAAAATCTGTAGTTCGTTAAATATAACTCTGCTGACTCTGGGTGATGTATGATAAGCCGAGTCAAAAAGGTTCATGTATGTATTGGAATGCTCCAAATCTGTAGTTTGTTAGATATAACTCTGCCGACTCTGCGTGATGTATGATAAGTCGAGTCAGAAAGGTTCATGTATGTATTGTAATACTCCAATTCTGTAGTTCGTTAAATATAACTCTGGTGACTCTTGGTGGTGTATGATAAGCCGAGTCCAAAAGGTTCATGTATGTATTGTAATACTCCAATTCTGTAGTTCGTTAGATATAACTCTGCCGACTCTGGATGATGTATGATAAGCCGAGTCAAAAAGGTTCATGTATGTATTGGAATCCTCCAGTTCTGTAGTTCGTTAAATATAACTTTTTTGACTCTGGGTGATTAATAATAAGCCTAGTCAAAGAAGCTAATGTATTTATGCTAAATTCAAAAAATGTGTATCATATACATATAAAACAAACGTAAGTATTTTATTACTACTGTATTTATTAATTTCAATATTTATTTACTTATTACGTTAATTTTTGGTGTAATTAGATGAATAACAGCACTCGTGTTTCATGTAAAGGTTAACTTTCAATATAGAAGCCCCCCCCCAGTGGCACAGCGGTATGTCTGTGGACTTACAACGCTAGAAACCGGGTTTCGATACCCGTGGTGGGCAGAGCACAGATAGCCCATTGTGTAGCTTTGTGCATAAATTATCAAACAAACAAACAATCAATATAGAATTCGTAGATGTCGCTTACTTACAACATAAAGTCAAAATTATCAGAATTTGGACAATTTATTGAAAGCTTGCAATGATGTTTTTATTAATTTTGTAAACTAATACACGACTGTTCTAGTCATAATAAAAAGAGTGAAATTAGTATATGCCCATTCAAGCGAAAAAGATACAAACATATATAAATACATAGCATTATAAAAATATTCTATGGTGTGAAGTATGTGGGCAGTTAAGGAGTGATCATTAAAAAAAACTTTAAAAAACACACATGAATTTCAACTTATTTATGTTTGTCTTATATGTATATAATGTATAATACACATTATCTGCATTTAGCCTAAATACATGAACCTCTTTGACTTGGCTTATTATTCAGTTCTTGTATCTCACCTGATGATGATGCCAGGTAAACCAGGTGATACGTTTTGAACAAAATAAACACAAGTTTTACTTTATACAACCGATAAAAACATGGTTGTGTGCCAAGTCACCTGAAGTAAGACTGTTGGTCTTATAAACAACGACATGTCTAGCTCAGAATAAACAGAGAATACCCGGCATAGCTTACAATCAAATATTATATCTACAGCACGTTAGTTTCGCTATTTTCTCGGTGGATATGGACGCCGTGAATACAGACTTTTCTTACACTGGTTTATAATCTCGTACGGCGAAGGTAACACAGGACAACACGAAGAAAGCTTCATGTTACGAAAGTGTAATACACACGGAGCCGTTGTTATAATAGGTTTGTACGTGTAGAGCTAATGTTGTAACTATGTAAGTGGAGTCATAATACGGGGTCATTTTTATTTCTTACAGAAGAGAAAAAAAAAGTTAAAGGAAGTAATTTGTGACTGAGGTAACATCACAATTAAATTATTTACTGGCCAAAAGCGGGTTTCCAGTAAAAAAAACGTGTGCATAAAAACAACATTTCAACTACGCCTTTTATGTTGTATACTACTGCCGACGAGCCCATTCGGTCAATACCAAAACTCATCAGTTGAAACCCTACATATGAAAATAATTCCTAAGATGTAGAATTCAAGTGTGGCATCCTACTCCATAGAAATTATAGAATACTCAGTTCACTATTATAGAAAGCTTTGTGAAGTAAGTAGTTTCACTGGCTCCTGGATATTGTTTACAACTGGAATGTTTCTCTCCCGTCCTTCTCTCGGTAATGGAATTAACAAATGCTGAATCGTTCTCCTATAAGAGGCATAGATACTTAACGCTGTTTGATATTTAGTTTAGTTGTATATTACAATGTGTAGATTACATTGATAGAATGCTTTCTAGTGTAGCTGTG